AATTTCGTACAGCGGTGCTGTGCTGCATTCTTAATAACCTCTATTATTCGCAGCATCTACTACGTACTTATTGACTTCATTATTTTACAGCACAGCCAATGGCTTTTCAATGTGCTAAATATCTCTGGCCTGATCATCACTAGGTCTGCACATGTTTCACGAAGAGCGTCGCAATGCGATGAAATTGTCATGGTGAAGTTCTGCGTTATAATGAATAACGGAACAGCCACGACATGAGTAGCGGATTCTTGTATAGTATCAGCAGGTAATAGCGGCAAAGTAAAAATGTCCTCCATCAGATCTCATTGAATCAAACGATTCTTGACACTAATTCAAATTGTAAGGTAGAAAATATATTTTAAAAAATTTACGGCTCATTGCTTGTGCTGATTTTTAGACAGCTGCCAGGTGCATCACAGCGGATTGCAACCATAAAGCATATACATCAGGCAGTATGCTCGTGTCTCTCACTTTCTGCCATGATCACAATAGATTGCCATGTTAGCAACTTGATACCCGTTTCTTTGCTGGTTCCATTGAAACATCGCTGAGTGAATTCCATATTCAAATAAATTAGCAGTTAAATTGAATTTGTTATGTCTTGTCGGAGATTGAATGTAAACTTTGATAGGTCGACAGCGTTATGTTTCCGAAGGCGATGTCCATGGAAGATCTGAATTCGATGGCGAATGGATGGACGTGGAAAAGCATCAGCAAAAAAAGAAGGAGAAAACCCGCAATGGCACATATTCAGAAAAAACGAGACCTTCAGCAAACAATGTCGATGATTTGTCATACAAACCCTTTAGGTCGGGAACAGCTGGTTTCGATAATTTCCAGAACAACCATTCGTATGACAAAATCAAGCTGAACTCCAAAAATGACAATTTTCTGCTTCCGCAGTATTATCCTAATCCGGAAGCTGATGGAGCCCCGAATTTTCATAAAAATGGCAGTCGTCTGGATAGTGGCTTTTCATACGCGCATGAAAATGGCTATGTTCCCACTTGGAATGGTTCTCAGGGTTTTGCAGCTTATCCATCTTACTTCCATGGTAAAAATGTATTCCCTCAATATTCCACTTTGCCGAAGTCTTTTTATAGTGACAGGTTTGTTATGGTTCCGGTGTTCTCCGATGAACCAAATGCAAAGGATATCAAAGCAGGATGCGAACGTTCAATGACTCTTCCTGAAGGAGGGTCAAAGCAGATGGCAAAGGAAAGCGCGACTCTCAGAAGAGAGGCTGACCTCATAGATTCCTCCGCTAGTTCAGGCTCAGAAAAGAGGGTCTTACCCAACGGAAAAAGTTGCAATCAGAAACTGCAGATGATTAAGATAGACGATGAAAAAGCCGCAGAACAGCAGTTCTGGAAGACATTCCCGCGAAGGTCCGTACTTGAAGTCCTGTCTTACATGCATCTCACTCTTGGGCTTGCGTTGTTGATTACTGGAGCCATAAAAGTAACGTCACATTCGTGGTGGACAGCGACGGCTGAGCTGACCGCTGCTATCTTCGTCACGATCATGGGAATCATCGGTATCATTGGATTTCGAGGTCGAAACCGATGTTCCGCGATAGCGTGCTTTATTATGAATATACTGGGCTGCATAATCATTGTTTATCCTTTCGCTTTCAGTAAGTTTATTTTAATTTGACAACTTTAAACCATGTATAAATGGTAATCGCGAAAAATTAGAACATGAGCATACGAATTTTGAAGATTATATGTAACGAGGTTTTAGGCTGCGCAATGCACATGGCAATTAATTTGGTTGGATTACGATACTGCAGCATTACCATCAAAAGTTTGTGTCGATTTCCTGCTGAATGAATTATCTTCGCAAAACCTCATGGGGGG